CACACACACACACACACACACACACACACATACATACAAATTCTATCTATAAAACCACTTAACATAACTAGTCTGTGATAATATATTTTTAGGAATTATAATAAGTTGGTTTGTGAAATGCATATATTATTTCATAAAATATAAGTGTTTAATAGGAAATAGGGATTTATGATAAATATTTGATATGTCTGTCATATGATATATTAAATATTGTATTTGACAAAAATATTATAAGATTTCTAAATACTGAAATAATAAAATATTTTTAAATATAGTTAAAGTATTATTACTTATTTTACTAAACATAAATATAATTTATTCAAATATTTAACAATATATTTACACACAATATACTAATTATATATTGAAAATGAAAATAAAATAATTACTAATTAATGTTCTATTAATCAGTAAAATATATGTGCAATATCCTTTATACTAAAATATGTTCCTGTTGCAAATCCAAGAATTCCCACAATAAACACAATCAGATTTCTTGTATATATCACACGTTTTCTTTGTTTACCTAAAAATAATCAATAATTTGAAATAAATAACTATTTCAATAATTTATAAATGAAATTCATACTAATATCCCTTTCCCAGTAAATGATAGTGTGCAGCACAGGTGGTATAATAATCGCGATAAAACTATTTCAAAATAAAATATTTTTAATAAAAAAATACTTATTAACATATACACAAATACTAAACCTGCTGGATACCGCGCCCACTAGCGCTATAATTAAATCCAGTCGCGGTATGAATGCAGCTAGGCCAACTGATAAAAATAAATGTAAAAATATTTAACACTAAAACACTATTTTATAGCAGATATGGCATACATGTTATGATAACCAAAACTGTCCGTAAGATATAGTTTGAAGCGTTGATATAATTTGAGTCCATTTTGTGGGCCTGGAGTCGGGACTCAATCCTAGGCCACAGTTGTTGTATAGCGACGTACATCTGAACCGGATATGAGACGGTGACCGCCAATGAGTACATTAATAGCACGCTATCATAGACCGGCTCATTGGGCAGGGATAGGGTGATCACACTTTCAACCTCATCGCCGTATTTTAGGTAACCTAACAGCCCTATTGCGATATACAGTGATATGGCTATTAATATGGCACCGTTGACTACGCCAAATAATTTAGAGAAATTGTGCTTGTTCCTAACGGCTCGGTATAGTGGCATAGACTAGAAATGTAAGTGTTTTAAAGTTAATTAACATTTTGTGAAAAGTTTTTTATAAACTATTTTATGATTACAGAAGTAATGCCTTCGAAGGTATAGACAGTTATACTGAAAAATAGCGGCAATTCGTTGCCAATCGCCCGGCGACTGGATATGGGCTCAACATTTTGGACTAAATTGTAGATTATTATTATAAATGATACCAATTGTACGACATTAGCGCACCCTGATGCTATGGTTAGCAGTCGTATGCTTTTGATAAAATTAATTACTATCATAATTGGCAGTAATA